ACCTTTAAATGAACAATCTGCTGCCTTTCATGTTGGCACTAATGACTGCGTGTCCACACCGGCATGTTTGTCGCCCTTAGAGGGTAATACTGTGCACGCCCCAGGCGTATTTCCCGCTGCTGTACAGAATCTATGGCTGCAAATTCTAGCCCTGTCAGCCCCCCCTCCCGCGGGGACGGAGAAATCTGCGCTACGATTTCCAGTAGCCCGGCCCGGCGATAAAGTCTTTTTCACTGTGTTGTTGCTCTTACGGCTCCTAACATTATTTTATCGGGATAACCGCTGAAATATCCTGCAGCGTAATGATGTGGCTGTGTCCCATTCGGCGCCGAGCAGGAGCTGCACGCCCGGTCCCCTTCAGGACTCATTGCGTTCCTGCTACGGAGGTTTCCATCAAAAAAAAAAAAAGGCGCCTCCTCTGAGCGATGAAGTTTTTTTACACTTGGGAGAGAACGATAATAAGCGCCTCTCATGGATGAAGTAGCCGATTTGTATCAGGATCGCTGCGTGCCTGACACTTTCCCTATTACTGCAGCATTAAAAGACCCCACAGGGGGGGAAGAGATGTCACAGCCAGCCTGCCGCTAACTGGTGTCATTACAATGCCGGTGACAAGCGCACTGTGACAACGCGCAGCCGGCGTTCTTTATAACCAGCCCAATGCCGTCGCCTTCTTTTTTTTACTATTTGTAAACAGTCGATAAAACTGGAAAGAAATAAAAAAAAACACGCTGAAAAACGAGTCAGAAAAAAAAAAAAGGACGTACAGAGGAGACGCTGACAAAAAAACAAGGGAGGTTGCCGGGCGGGTGGCCAGCCGCTGGAAAAGGACGCAGCGTTGACACATGGGCAACCGTGCAAACGGGTTCAGCACGTGACATTTTGGCTCCAATTGAAGCACATGTGAACCCAAATAGCTTAATCACTGTACTACCGCGCCATTGAAAAAGACAACGGCGGGTAGGGAGACTCCATTTTCGGGAGCGCCGTTTATAAACGTCAGTGCAGAAACCACGTACGGGAGGCCACCCTGTGAATGTCTGTGATTGAGCTGTCATTAGACACAGCACGGATCAGAGGATACATACACAGTGCCATGTGATCACTGAGAACCAATCACAGCCACCGCAAATGTACACAAAAAATATAAACAAACCCTCCCCTTCCGGCTGATCGCTTCTCCAGCAATCTGTACTATTGTAAGTGACACCGCTCCCGCTCACCACCAATCAAAGGGGGACTGACAGAGCAGCAGGGGAGCATATTGACCATAAAGGGGTGATATTGATCGCAAAGGGGTGATATTGATCACAAAGGGGGGATATTGACCATAAAGGGGTGATATTGATCACAAAGGAGTGATATTGATCACAAAGGGGTGATATTGATCACAAAGGGGTGATATTGACCATAAAGGGGTGATATTGATCACAAAAAGGGGGATATTGACCATAAAGGGGTGATATTGATCATAAAGGGGGGATATTGACCATAAAGGAGTGATATTGATCACAAAGGAGTGATATTGATCACAAAGGGGTGATATTGATCACAAAGGGGTGATATTGACCATAAAGGGGTGATATTGATCACAAAGGGGTGATATTGACCATAAAGGGGTGATATTGATCACAAAGGGGGGATATTGACCATAAAGGGGTCATATTGATCACAAACGGGTGATGATATTACAAAGACATGCTGGAAGGTTAATTGGCTCCTCTCTAAGTTGGCCCTCTATGTATGTATGTGAGATAGGGACCTTAGATTGTAAGCTCCTTGAGGGTAGGGACTGATGTGAATGTGCACTATGTAAAAGTGCTGCGTAAATTGTCGGCGCTTTATAAATACCTGACATAAATAAATAAATAAATAAAATGATGACCATAAAGGGGTGATATTGATCACAAAGAGGTGATATTGACCACAAAGGGGTGATATTAACCATAAAGGGGTGATATTGATCACAAAGGGGTGATATTGACCATAAAGGGGTGATATTGATCCCAAACGGGTGATGTGGACCATAAAGGGGTGATATTGATCACAAACGGGTGATGATACTCCAAAGACATGCTGGAAGGTTAATTGGCTCCTCTCTAAGTTGGCCCTCTATGCAGGCATGTGAGATAGGGACCTTAGATTGTAAGCTCCTTGAGGGTAGGGACTGATGTGAATGTGCAACTATGTAAAAGCGCTGCGTAAATTGTCGGCGCTTTATAAATACCTGTAATAAATAAATAAATTGATGACCATAAAGGGGTGATATTGATCACAAAGGGGTGATATTCGCCATAGAGGGGTAATACGGATCCTAAAAGGAGCACATTGGCCATAAAGGGGGCATATTGGCTATAGGTGTAATATTGATCATAAAGGGGGCAACACTACAGACCACCAACATTTAAGGACTCACACACCACTGATATTTAAAGGGACACTCACCACTGACCATAAGCAGTGTCCTCCTAACCTTCTTGTCTTGAATTGTATTGTAACCGTACTGTCTCCTTTTCTATTGTAAAGTTTCATGCAAACTCTTGGCACTATATAAATCCTGTATAATAATATTAAGGGCTCATTCAGACGGGCGTGCATGTCGGTAAGGTGTGCACGACTGTAAAAACACCCAATCTCAAGAAATTGTGTGCAGCAGCCTGTTCTACCCTATGGGAGGACGCGGCTGCACGCCATTACACGCACGCCCAAGCTTGCACATCTGTGCGGATCTGGGTTCCAGCACTTGGACGCGCACTGTCTGCGTTCAAGTCTGAGCTGTACGGACGTGCACACCCGTCTCAGTGAGCCCGATTAGCCCCAAAACAACTTTGTTTTCAGATCACTTCTGTAGTCCTGTCCTACAGTGACAACGTTACTCCTCCATAGATAGAGGGCGAATGAGTGTTGTCACCCTTAGACAGGAAGTCAGGTGTGTTACCAGGTGCAAATAAAGGAAAACTAACGCAGCCAGCTGCAATATTTTACAATGTTTTTCCGGGGTTTAGATACACTCCATCTTTGACCATTGGCGCAGATTTCCCCAGTTTATGGAAATCCCATTCCTATGAAAGATTGACGATTCACCCACAAGCCTGGAGAACAGTGTATCATGTTA